CTTAATCGTTCCATACGTAAGAGAAGATCTCAAAAACAAATTTCGTTGGAACCCGTTCAAGCCTCAAGGTTCCGGATGAACGACCCATTCTAAAAGCCGAACTTAACGTACGTAGCGTTGGGTACGGCAAAGAATTTCAAGGCTGACTTGATGATTATTATTGTTGTTCCGCAAGCGATCGCTATTGTCGGGTACAGGATTTATAGATCGCTAAACTGGTTAAGTTGGTAACGTTTGGCCGACCGTTGAATCATAACGTTATCGGTCGATCGAAGCGCGGCCTGAAAGTGGAACAGGGCGGCGTTTTGCGAATTGGGACGTTCGTTGGTGATTTACCGGATCAAGTCGCCTCAATCTGTCCGTTTCAATTTCGGACACTCGCATAATTAGGATTTTGACCCTTTCCAAAATGCAATTTTTTGCTCTTCAACAGATCTTCAGATGTTGTTGAAGAAAAATGAGCAATAATAATCGACCTGGCATAGCTCAGTTGAGTAGTATTCTCAAATTTTTGCTGAAAAATGAACAGCAAACAAAAATGCTTAGGTACTTAGAAGATATCCAGAAGTTTCTGTGTCGCTGAAACCTGAAATTTTTGCTGAAATTGGAATGACTGGGGAGATTCCACATCTCCAAGACCCCCCCCCCCTCCTGTGCTACTTTCTCTTTAAGGTATTCAGCCCTAAGGACAATCGTGACAGTTTTTCATTAAGGACAAAATCATGGTGTAAGTGGCGAGGGATTTAACCTTTTTGGAAGAAAGGCGGAACCGTGGGTTCTGGGGGGTATGGAATACCTTCCAGGAAATAAAAGGTTCGGTGTTCTTTTTGTTACAGCCATCGTTTTCGCACGCTAAAGGGAATGTCTGGGGGTATTCGATAACCCCCAGACCCCCTGGGCCACATCCTCTTTCAAAACATTCAGCCCTAAGGACTTTCGTGATAGTTTTCCATCGAATCCTCCTCTCCTAAGGGGTATTCCCTACCCCACAGACTTATGGTGTTACGTTCACTGGCCCTTTTCGAAAAAAACATGATGTAAGCACTAAAGCTTCCGGGGAAGTAAACAGATTCGAGGGGATTGGGCGGTATGGAATACCAGGACAATCAAATCTTCTTTTCGTGACGAGTATGTCATGACCTGCAGGCTCCTACTGTTGCGTTCGGTAGTCCCTTGTCCAAAATTGTGGTGTAAGCGCGGGTGAGGGGTGGAACCCTGAGGTCAGTGGGAGAGGGGGGGGGGCGTGAAAAACCTCGTACGCTAGCTGGGATGGATGGGGGTATTCCAAATCCCCCAGATTCCTCGGCGCTACATTGTAAATGCTAAAGGATTAAACATTTAGGAAGAAAAGTAGAACCGGGGGGTTTTCTTACAACTATCACAAGATTTTCGTACGCCCCCTTCCCCTTCAACCCTAAGGACTCTCTTCATAGTCATAGGACCATCGTATCTTCTTTTGCTAACGAGTATTTCATGCCATGCAGGTTCCAACTGTTACCCTTGTCCAAAATTGTGGTGTAAGCGCGGGTGAGGGGTGGAACCCTGAGGTCAGTGGGAGAGGGGGGGGGGCGTGAAAAACAAAATTGTAGTGGAAGTAGAACTGATTTTCGGGAATCAAACTTTTTGGAAGAAATGTGGAACCGGGGGGGTCCGGGGGTATGGAATACCCCTAGGAAATAAAAGGTTTTGGTGTTCCTTCGCTTACAACTTTCATAAAGATTCTCGTACGGTAGAGGGAGAGGCTGGGGAATACCCCCCAGACCCCCCGGTGCCACGTTCTTTCTTAAAACATTTAACCCTAATGACTCGTGATAGTCTTTCAAAAAAGACCCATTGATTCTTTTGCCAAAGGGTATTTTCTACCCCACAGGCCTGTGGCCAGTGCCTCTCTCCTGTAAAGTATGATGTAAGCACTAAACATTTTGGCGAAGCAAGCTGATCCGGGGGACTGGGGCTATGGAAGACCAGAACCATTGAATTTTCTTCTCCTGACAAGTATTTTTGTACCCTTCAGGCTTCTACTGTTAGTTCAGTAGTTCCTTGCCCAAAACTTAGTGCAAATGTTGAGGGAATTACACGTTTTGGAAGAAATGCCGAACCGGGGAGCTTTGGGGGGGGGGGGTATCGAGTAGCCCCCAGGAAAAAAAATTTTGGTGTTCCTTTTCTAACAACCACCTATCATAAGATTTTCGTGCCCTAGGTGGAATGGCTGGGGGTATTCAATAGCCCTCAGATCCCTCAGTGCTACATTCAGCCCTAAGGACTCAAGTTTTCTCTAGAAGACCACCAGATCTTCTTTTCCCAAGGAGTATTCCCTACCCCACACGCTTGTGGTATTATGTTCAATAGTCCTTTCCCAAAAGTTATGATTTAAGCTCAAAATATTTTGGGGAAGTAAGCAGATCCGGGGGGATTGGGGGTTATGGAAGAACGGGACAACCAGATCTTCTTTTCCTGACAAGTATTTTATACCCTACAGGAACCCACTGTTACGTTCCGTTGTTCCTTGTCCAAAAGATTAGCGAGGGGGAATTAAGGATTTTGGAAGAAATATAGAACCGGGGAGTCTGGAAGGTACGGAATACCCACTAGGAAAAAAAGAAGATTCGGCCTTCCTTTTCTTGCCACTGGCATAAGATTTTCGCGCGCTAGAGGGACCCCCGGCGCTACTTTCTCTTTCAAAACGTTCACCCCTAAGGATTCCCGCGATAGTTTTTCATTAAGGACCTTCGAATCTCCTTTTCCTGATGAGTATTTATAAAAGGTCTCCTCCTTGTTCCTTTTGTTGCGACTATCATAAGATTATCGTACGCTAAAAGAAATTGCGGGGGTATTCAATACCCCCCAGATCCCCTGGACTATATCCACTCTCAAAACATTCAGCCATAAGGATTCTCGTGATAGTTTTCCATGTGTAAGTGCTAAGGACACTAAAAGCTTTGGAGAAGAATGTAGTCCCGGGGATCTGGGGTGTGGTCTCCCATTTGAGAAGACCCTTAGGCATCGCCGACAGTCAATAAGATTCTCCAAGGGTTTTCTAAATGCTTTAAAATCATTACGAGGGCTAGACTGCTCAAGAATCCTTAAAAGTTGAGCGTTTTAGGGCTTTTATGGGTTTTTGAGAGGAAGTGCCTATAAGACTCCTTGCTCGTTTAGCTTTTTGAGAACCTTCTAGAACCATTCTGAAGAAGTAAGCAGATTGTGGGGGACTGTGGGGTAGCCCCTTGTTCAAAATTATGGTGGAAGTGCTGAGGGAATTAAACATTTGGAAGAACTGTAGAATCGTGGGGTCTGGAGGGCGTGAACCCCCCTCCCCTTCCATGAAAAAAAAGATTCAGTGATAGTTTTCCATAAGGGACCATCGAATCTTCTTTTCCTGACGAGTATTTCATGCCCTGCAGACTCGTACTGTTGCATTCGGGAGACAGGGTAAGTGCTGAGGGTATGGAACAATTTGGAAGACATGTAGAACTGGGGGGTCTGGGGAGTATGGAATACCCCACAAGAAAAAAAGGTACGGTATTCCATTTCTTTCAACTATCGTATGGCTATATGATAGTTTTCCATAACGTACCATCAAATCTTCTTTTCCTGAGGAGGATTTCCTACCCCACAGCCTTGTGGTGTTACGTTCAATGGCCCATTTTTAAAAGTTATGATGTAAGCACTAAAGATTTTGAGGAAGTAAGCAAATCCGGGGGGAGTGGGCGGTCTAGGGGCATGGAATTGATAGTTTTCCATTTTCGTGCGCTAGAGGGAAAGATTAAAGGGTATTCCATAACCCCCAGATCCCCCAGTACTATTTTTTCATTCAAAACATTCAGCCCCAAGGACTGCCGTGACAATTTTACATAAATTACCATCGAATCTGGAATCTGGAATAGACCCCCCCCCCCCCCCGTACACGACTATCTTATGCTAGTTGTAGGAAAAGATAGACCGTTTTTTCATGAAGTGTATTCCATACTCATCCCCAATGCATTTAGTGTCATAAACACCAGAAGAAGGAGAGAAGATGATCTTGATAAGTAACATCAGAGCTCATCAGAGCAGTGAACAACAATGAAGGTGCTGTAAGTGCTAAGGACACTAAAAGCTTTGGAGAAGAATGTAGCCAGGGGGATCTGGGTGCGTGGTCTCTCATTTGAAAAGGTCCATAGGTATCACCGACAGTCAAGAAGAGTTCCCAGGAGTTTTCTAAATGCTTTTAAATCTTTCCTGGGTCTAGTGGTGCGCAAGACTCTCGCTCGTTAGGCTTTTTGAGACCCTTTCCAATGCTTTCTGGGTCCTTTCTCGGGTTAGGCAACTCTTGAAATTAGTTACAGAGCCCTGGAAAGTGCATATAGCACTCTGGAATGATCCTAAAAAGGCGAGTCTCTATAAACTGATTACCATCTTAATCTTTTGAAAGCTAGTGAATCCAAAAACCTTCCAAGGGATCTAGAAGTAGTCTCAGACAGGTTCTTGAACCTTAGGAGCTTTTCAGAAACTCCTAGATGGGTAGGTTCTAGAGGAGTCTGCAAACGTTGTCTAGGGAAGCTTTGGAATATACGACCAGAGGGCTCTGAAATTGCAATAAAATAGATACACTGTACTATGGGCTTACATGCTAGGGGGTTTCGGTGTTCAGGCCTCAATTTCCGGTTCCAATCTCCATGTGAAAATGTCTTTTCTGCCGAAAACAACTGTATGATAATCACAGAAATGAAAATTTGAACGACGAGCGAGTTTTCTAATTACCACAAGTGTTGGATTATACAACAAGATTCGATTTAATTTCAACAACAACAATTTTCTACATATACACGTTTGGCAATATTTTCACGGGGCGTGCGGTTGTGAAAGTGAATTCTCTCTTTAATAAAAAAAAAGTAAAAGTAACATAAGCCGAACGCAAACTGGTTTAAAATAATTGGATGAATTACGTGTTATTGTTTTTGCAACCGTGACCCGCAGGGATCTGAATCGGGACCCGTTAATATTCCATGCGCTTGTTGCAGGTTATGATGCTTCAGTACTCGAACGAGCAGCTGGCGACGATAATCGGCGTGCCGATCGTGACGATCTTGCTGATATGGACCGTCGCGATCTTCCACAAGAATCGGAAGAAGTGGAGCTCGTACGACATTGCCATCGTGGCCGTTTTGGTGCAGAGCATTTTGAGGAACCTCGCGATTTTGGCGTACACCGCCTTGATAATCGTGAAGAATAGTAGCATTCCGGCGGACTACTGCAAGGCGGTGGTGTGGATCTTCAACTCGATCCACACCTTCCAGGCCAGCTCGCTGACAACCCTGGCAGTCATTGCGCTTTTCACCGTAAGGCTTTACAGGAAGCAGCAGAGCTTGCAGATGTATCTGACAGCGACGCACGTCATTTATCACCTTTTCTGCCTCACGACACTGTGCGCGTGCGTCGGCGTCGCCTCCATCTTGGCCCAAGAGGACAAGAAGAACATCAGCTTCAACCTTCAGCCCAGCGTCAGCGACGTCGCGTGCAAATTCATGCCGTTCGACCTCGACGTCAAATTTAACATCTTCATCATCGTGCTTCACATCTTCCTCGCCATGGTCTCACTAACCGCTTTCATCTTCATCTGCTTCAATCACCTCAAAATGCGCCACCAGGGCTTCGACTATCTGAAAAAGTCGACGTCCGACCTAAGCGAGCTGAGCCTCTCCCTGACCGCATCGGTCAACGAAAATTTGACCAAGAACTATTACGACACGTACACAATACAGCGACTTCCGCACAATTTCGACGTTAGTTACGATAGTCAAGTGCAAAATCGCGAACCGATGTGGAACAGTGATCTTTCGAACATTTCGATGACCGTGAGTTCAACAAACAGTAAACGACCGTGTCTGAAAAAGCCTTTACAGGATGAAGAGGAAAGTGGAACCGGATTGTATACGATGTATCCGATCCTAACCGTCTGCTACTTATTCAACCACATTCCGCTAATTGTAAGTAATTTTTTCATTAACCGGTACTTTCATTCATAATTACATGCGAGCGTACGACACGTCAATTGTTTTGATGAGAAAGTTTACAGCTTTAACCTTAATTGGTCGTCTAAATCGAGCACGTGTCTTCCTTACGATTTTGCATAATTTTATTGTTTCACAAATTAAATTGTGAAACAGTAAGGGGCCTAATCGAGATCCTTGCGGTGTCCCAACTATTGATCGAGATCGCCAAGTTTAAAGGTAACGCGACTGCAAGCGACTCTCGAACAGTCCCTCACAAACACCCCAGACCACCCCCTACCCTTGGCTACTTCACTGTCTATTTGCACCAACATTTTGACACATTAGGTTGGGCTCAAAGGGGGTGCACTATAATTTCGAGGTATGAAGCAAGACAAGACAATGCTTTCAGAGATATCTTAAACCCGTGGCTCCCTAAACACGGGGGATATTGCATGTTGTGCATTGATTAAAGAATCTTAAGGATTTGCTTGAAATATCTTTGGAAGATTTTCTAGAAAATCTGGTTTCCCTCTAAAGAATTTCATGGAGAAGTTTTCGTAGAATTCTTTAGAGCACTTATTCATGGACTTCCTCTGTTTTATCCTTGAAGAGTCATCTAAGAATCTTGCATACTCCAAAAATTGTTGAAACAATTCCATGAAAAGCAAGAATGTTCCAAAAATTCTTGAAGAATCTTGAACGTTTTCAAAAATCTGTTTTTGATTACTTCGTCAACAATTTTTCTTTTTCTGGGCGATATTTCATGCACGAAAAGTTTAAGGGCTGGACATTTTGGGGGGAGAATGTAACATCGCGCGATCTGGGGATAACGACTACCCCCCAGCAGTACACTAGGCAAAGCTCTTTAATTCTTTTAACATTTTGAGGGACAGTTTAGAACCGGTGGGTCTGGGGGTACGGAATACCCCCCAGGAAAAGAGAGATTTGATGGACCTCCTTCGAAACTTAACTCTAGTGGTACTTCTCAGGAAAAGGTAATCTATTTCCCTTCTGTCCGCAGACCCAACGGTGTAACACTCTCCCCAAAAACGTTCAGTTCTTAGCACTTCAGTGTATGGAATATCTCCCAAAAAAGGAATAGTGATAGACACTCCCTACAAGGTATTAAAAAGCTCTAAAAACATTTTGGGAGACAGTTCAGTAGCGGGGGGTCTGGGGTATGGAACACCCCCAGAAAAAAATATATTTGATGGTCCTCTTACGAAACTTAAATGCCAAGATCAGTGACTATAGCAAGTCTCTTCTCAGGAAAAAGTAATCTATTCCTCCTGTGTGCTGGGGGGTATTCCATACCCCCTAGACCCCCCGGTAATACACTCGCCCCCAAAACGTTCAGTTCTCAGAACTTGTGTGATTGGAATATCGCCCAGAAAAAGAATAATGGTAAACTTTCCCTACAAGGTATTGAAAAGCATGTTCTAAAAAACATTTTGGGAGACAGTTCAGTATCGGGGGGTCTGGGGGGGATTGTCATACCCCGGTATTACACTCGCCTCCAAAACGTTCAGTTCTCAGAACTGGTGTGTATGGAATATCACCCAGAAAAAGAATAATGGTAGACATTCCCTACAAGGTATTGAAAAGTATGCTCTAAAAAACCATTTTGGGAGACAGTTCAGTATCGGGGTGTCTGGGGGGGGGTGTGGAATACCACTAGGAAAAAAGATATTTGATAGTCCTCTTACGAAACTTAACTGTCATGAGCAGAGACTATAGCAAGACTCTTCTCAGGAAAAGGTAATCTATTCCTCCTGTGTGCTGGGGGGTATTCCATACCCCCCAGACCCCCCGGTATTACACTCACCCCCAAAACGTTCAGTTCTCAGAACTGGTGTGTATGGAATATCACCCAGAAAAAGAATAATGGTAGACATTCCCTACAAGGTATTGAAAAGCATGTTCTAAAAAACATTTTGGGAGACAGTTCAGTATCGGGGGGTCTGGGGGGTGTGAATACCCCCAGGAAAAAAGATATTTGATAGTCCTCTTACGAAACTTAACTGTCATGATTAGAGACTATAGCAAGACTCTTCTCAGGAAAAGGTAATCTATTCCTCCTGTGTGCTGGGGGGTATTCCATACCCCCAGACCCCCCGGTATTACACTCACCCCCAAAACGTTCAGTTCTCAGAACTTTTGTGTATGGAATATCACCCAGAAAAAGAATAATGGTAGACATTCCCTACAAGGTATTGAAAAGCATGCTCTAAAAAACAGTTTGGGAGACAGTTCAGTATCGGGGGGTTTGGGGGGGTATGTAATACCCCAAGGAAAAAAGATATTTGATAGTCCTCTTACGAAACTTAACTGTCATGATCAGAGACTATAGCAAGTCTCTTCTCAGGAAAAGGTAATCTATTCCTCCTGTGTGCTGGGGGGGATTCCATACCCCCAGAGCCCCCGGTATTAGACCACCACCGAAACGTTCAGTTCTCAGAACTTTTGTGTATGGAATATCACCCAGAAAAAGAATAATGGTAGACATTCCCTACAAGGTATTGAAAAGCATGCTCTAAAAAACATTTTGGGAGACGGTTCAGTATCAGGGGGTCTGGGGGGTATAGAATACCCCCGGGAAAAAAGATATGTGATAGTCCTCTTACGAAACTTAACTGTCAAGATCAGAAACTATAGCAAGTCTCTTCTCAAGAAAAGGTAATCTATTCCTCCTGTGTGCTGGGGGGTATTCCATACCCCCCAGACCCCCCGGTATTACACTCACCTCCAAAACGATCAGTTCTCAGAACTTTTGTGTATGGAATATCACCCAGAAAAAGTATAATGGTAGACATTCCCTACAAGGTATTGAAAAGCATGCTCTGAAAAACATTTTGAGAGACAGTTTAATCCCGGGGGGTCTGGGGGGTATGGAATACCCTCAAGAAAAAACATATTTGATAGTCCTCTTACGAAACTTAACTGTCATGATCAGAGACTATAGCAAGTCTATTCTCAGGAAAAGGTCATCTATTCCTCCTGTGTGCCGGGGGGTATTCCATCCCCCCCAGACCCCCCGGTATTACACTCACCCCCAAAACGTTCAGTTCTCAGAACTTGTGTGTATGGAATATCACCCAGAAAAAGAATAATGGTAGACATTCCCTACAAGGTATTGAAAAGCATGCTCTAAAAAACATTTTGGGAGACAGTTCAGTATCGGGGGGTTCGGGGGGGTATGTAATACCCCCAGGAAAAAAGATATTTGATAGTCCTCTTACGAAACTTAACTGTCATGATTAGAGACTATAGCAAATCTATTCTCAGGAAAAGGTAATCTATTCCTCCTGTGTGCTGGGGGGTATTCCATACCCCCCAGACCCCCCGGTATTACACTCACCCCCAAAACGTTCAGTTCTCAGAACTTTTGTTATGGAATATCACCCAGAAAAAGAATAACGGTAGACATTCCCAACAACGTAATAAAAAGCATGCTCTAAAAAACATTTTGTGGTACAGGTTAGTGTGGGGGGCGGGGGGTATTATACTCTTCGCCTCAAATCATTCAGTTCTTAGAACCTTACGGAATATCTCCCATAAAAGGAATAATGGTAGACATTCCCTGTAAGGTAACACGCTCGAAAAACATTTTGGGGTACAGGATAGCGTCGGGGGGGTCTGGGGCGGTATGGAATACTTCTCAAAAAAATTTCTCCTATGTGCCCGTACCTCCAGGTATTACATTCTCCCCTCAAAACGTTTAGCCCTTACTATTAAACATTTGACAGTTTAGTACCGGAGCGTCTGGGGGTTATGAAATATCCCCAGGAAAAGAGATGTTTCGAAATTTAGACCCCCCCTTTTTTTCAGATTTTTCAAATTTGTCGTAGTTGTAGAGGTTCTATCAGGTTCTTCGGTATGATTCGCCTCTTTGGTTTCTTCTTAAGCACATTTGACTTCCACGCCTGTCTAGATCTTTTCGTTTTCTGTGATTTTTTTCCGACCTGTTTGCCTTTTCCAAAATACTTCCATCATCTTTTACGGCTTCTTCTATCCCAGCCTATTTGTTTGTTCTATTATCGTCGTACTTTCGGTGATCACCTTGTCCCCTTTGGTTGCTTCTATTTCTTCTGTTCACACCCTGCGAAATCCATTGGTTTCGTCAGTTTCTTCTGCTGGAGTTGATCAGTTTCATAATTACATCAATATTTTGGATCTTTCCTTCCCACACTGCCTCACCCTGCTTTGCTGGTTTTTTCAATTTCTTTATCATCCTCCGTTTCGTCAACTTCTTCGACTGGTTCTTTGATTTACTGCTCTTCGGTTCCCGATCCTGTCTGATGAGAGGAATAGGTGCAACCTCAATTACCTTCTCACGACTGACCTACGATGTCTGCACTCAAGGAAGTGGTCCGGTCCTGAACAAAATCTCGGCTAATTGAAGCGAACGTGATGGGAAAATATGAGCAGTTCAAGGCTGATGTATGAGAAATTAACACCTTCAGGCCGCACGAAACCGCACCGATTTATTTTACGTACAGACTTTTGTAATTAGAAAGTCAGTGTTAATTTGATACGAGAGCTCGCTTTCCCTTTTTTATCAAAAATCCATATTCGCCACCGCAAAGTACAGCAACCTTCACTTAACTGCGAAAGGGTACCATTCTATTTTACAATCTGAAAAAGGGCAAAACGCGCTATTAGCCTAGTGATATTTCACGATTTACTTTTTTGATCGAATACCACTTCGCGTTCCTTTATTTTTCCACGGCGTGCGGTTGACAAACCCAAGTCGACGTTTACAAATTGCTATCGGCGCACCTACCACCTATTTAGAAACACAATGTCAGACTTTCAAAACAATGTACTCGGTTAGGTAATTGTTATGCTATAAATGAGTTTTGCACGTGACGCAAATCAATTACAATTTGAGGCACAAAATGAAGGTTTAACCGCTTTGAACTGAAGAGCTCTAAGACCTACAACTTTTTCGCCTTCATCCCCACATTTCGCTAGTCCACGATGTCAAAATGTCG